TATATATATATATATATATATATATATATATATATATATATATATATGCGGTGGCTCAGTGGCTAAGACGCTGAGCTTGTCAATCAGAAAGCTCAGCAGTTTGGCGGTTCGAATCCCTAGCACCGCATAATGGAGGGAGCTCCCGTTACTTGTCCCAGCTTCTGCCAACCTAGCAGTTAAAAATGCAAGTAGAAAAATAGGATTCACTATGGTGGGAAGGTAATAGCGTTCCGTGTGCCTTTGAAGGTGTTTAGTCATGCCGGCCACATGACCACGGAGACGTCTTCGGACAGCGCTGGCTCTTCGGCTTTGTACCGGAGATGAGCACTGCCTCCTAGAGCTGGAAACGACTAGCATGCATATAAATTCATTTAGTCAGGAAAGCGTGGATGTACCTAATTGTCTTCAGCTCTCTCTTTCTCTTTTGTTCCAGCATTTACAAAATCCTGCCAATTTCCACAATGCAGCTACTGAACTTCTGGATTGGTGTGGCGACCCGAGAGCTTTCCAAAGGCCCTTCGAACAGAGTCTTATGGGCTGTTTGACGGTATGGCAACTTTTATTCAGCCAGACCATATTATTGTGGGGGTTTTTTTTCTTTTCCAGCTTCGAGAAAAATGCATTCCTCTCCATCTTGAAAAGGAGGCAGTGGCCTGCTGAAATACAGTTATTAGTCCATTTGTTTACATATAGATATGTCAATCTTGTGGTTTTTTTAAAAAAATGGAAAAAGAGGAACTTTGGTTACACGGAGGCTTTTAATATAAAATTGCTATTGCTTCCAGATTCCCATGCAAATATTTCACCCCTCGTTTTTTAAACTGCAATAAATCACCCATCCAGAGGTGGTATTCAGCTGATTCAGACCAGTTCTGGAGAACCGGTAGCAGAAATTTGGAGTAGTTTGGGGAACCAGCCAATCCCGCCTCTCACTGGCCCCTCCAACCCCATCTATTCTCTGCCTTCCAAGTCCCAGCTGATCGGCTGGGTCTTCTTTTGTTGCCCTGCGCTGGAGAACAGAGCTGGAAAGCAAGTTAGTCAGGTAGGGAGGGAATGGGGATTTTTGCAGTAACCTTCCCCTGCCACGCCCATCAAGCCACGCCCACAGAACCGGTAGTAAAAAAAATTGAATCCCACCACTGCATCTTTCCAACTTGGGATCACCCATATTGTAATATTTTATCATTAATTATGAAAAAGCGAGTCATATGAGATACTTTGGATTAATAAGAACAGGCACAGTTGTGCTGACTAGCTAATACTAAAAAGCAGCATTTCATTAGCTTGGATAGATGATTATATAGTTTCCATTCTGTTATGTATCATGTTTTTTTTTAAATATAGCAAGCCGTGTTGGACACAGATAATTGCATTTAATGAACCCTTCTTTTAATTCTTCAAGGAGATTTTATATTAAAACTCTGGTGACAAATTAGCTCTTGCAGCATAAGCCCTTTAGAGTGAAATATCATGGAAAACAAAAGGCTGGTGCTAAATTAATAAAACGCTACTAAATGCTTCTGTCTTCCTGTTGCTCTTTAACTTTCTAAATTAAGGGAATGTTAATATCATTCACAAATAACACTTTCCGTGTGCAGTGCATATAAATGGATTTTGTGTGTGTGTGTTGCTTATCTGAGAGGGTAGTGGGCCTAAATCAAAGCCATTACTTTGAAGAAGTATGTGTGAATATAAATGATCCCAACCAATCAAACGCAACCCTTGAGTTTGTGAAGGTCCTATTAAATTATTTCAAGAGATCGAGGGTGCATCCATCACTTCCAAGCCTGCAGTTTTGGCTTGCAGTCTTACGACCACATTTGAACCAGAATTTCCATTGCTAATCAAGGCAGTTGTTATGTCGGTCATACCCAATTTTATGACTTTTTTTTTTTTTGCCATGGTTCTTATGTCAGGATTCCAAATAATATCCCCATAGCAAGCAAAACTGAGGCAGACAAATTCCTCAAAGAATAGGTTTATTGGATATGTCATATTAGCACAAGCTGGTGAAAACCGACTCTGAATATTCCTGCAGTTTTCACCTGATTAAAAGTGAAAGTTGTCCCTTTCTCAAAACAATCGGTTAAATGGTCCAATCAGGACACTGTCCAGTTGCTCGGTGACTCCAGTCCCCTCCTTCCGAGCACCTGCAGGAATGTCCTTGGTTCCCATGAGAAAGTATTTTGTTTTGGCTACAACATCTGTATTCCCACTTTCCTATCCCTCTTCCTGAAGTCTCAAAATGGCCTCAATCAGGCCAGCTTCAGGGTTGACACCTTAAGCAAATCAGTGCAGTTATTAAATCCATCACAAAGTCATTAAGGAAATCCAGCTTTCCCCATTGAGTTTGCTTGTCGGAAGGTTGCAAAATGTCAATCACATGACCTGGCATGCTGCAACCATTATGAATACTTGCCAGTTGCCAAGCACCAGAATTTTGATCCTGGGAAATGCTTCAACAGTCAAAAGTGCAAGGACCGGTTGTAAATCACTTTCTTTAGGGCCATTGTCACTTCAAAAGGATCATTCCAATCAGTGCTCGTAAATTGAGAACTACTTTTAGTCCATGAGAGAACATGGACAAGACAGGAGGCACTAGGAGTTTTCCGATGTGGAGTAGATACCCTGAAACATCTGGAAGATTTAAATCTTATTTTGTCCCTCTAGGCTTCCAGAAATGCAAAGCAAATTTGCAGCCACTCAAAAGCAAAATTGGTTCTCCTCCAAGTCACCTTTCATTCCCCCCAATTGTCTCTGGAGACAAAGCCCTTGGTGGATGATGGAGAATTAAGATTTTAAGTCACACTTCGGAAGCAGTGCGAAATACAGACCAATGGCCTCCTGACAGCTTGCTTACTTTTGACCTTGATGGTTTATTGTTCACTCTGGAGTCTCTTGTTTCTTAGAGGACAGATTGGCGCAATCAGGTTCAATGCAGAGGTGGTATTCAGCTGGTTTGGACCGGTTCTGGCGTACTGGTTGCAGAAATTTTGACCAGTTCAGAGAACTAGCAAATACTTACTCTGACAGGCCCAGCTCCCCCTGGATACTTTCAAATCCAAAAGTATCTTTGGAGTTTGAATGGGGTGCACTGCTGTTTTAAAGAGCTGCAGACACTCCCACGTGCTCTGAAGAAGGGGAGCCGAACAAACTGTGCAGCCTTAGCAGAAATTAAAGAAAGGAGAACAAAGACTTCTGAGTTTGGATTTTTATACATTGTGTCTTCCAGCGGTAGGTTGGCGAGAAACTGATGACTTCCCAGAAACTCTCTGTGACAATCCTTTTCTTCTTCTTTTTTCTCCCTTTTTCCTCAGGTTGTTAGCAGAGTGGCAGCCCAGCAGGGCTTCGATCTGGACCTCGGATATCGGTTACTAGCTGTTTGCGCAGCCAACAGGGACAAATTCACACCAAAATCAGCTGGTAGGAACAACTGGTATTCTTTTCCAGATATAACTTTTTAGTGTGGGTTTTTTTTTTTTTTTGCCAGAGACAACCTTGACAAATGTGATAATGTGCTTTTGTGCGTCTCTGGGAAACACAGAGCTTTTGGCTTTCTCTTAAAAAATACAATGTGATGAGAAAAAAATGGTATTTGGGTTGCCATCTCTGTTTTTCAAACTGTCTTGAGGAATGAATAAACCTAAAAAAAAAATACAACCAACAGAGAATCAGTAATCCCAGAGAAATTCTATCCAAGTGGTGATGATCGTGGGGGACATTTACCCAGGTGGTATACTGTGCATGTGTGCAGACATGCATTCATTGATTGTTTTATTCATTCATTGATGCGTTTGTTCATTTATTTGTGGATACCTAAATTGGCCAGGTCTATGTAATGGTTTTTGAAAGCAACGCTTCCAGACACTGCAGTATTTGCTTGTGACTTTGTGACTTAATAGATCATTTCTATTCTTAAAAGGTTGAAAGTGTTGTAGATCTTGTGGCTTCCCATTTTTCAATAATTTTGGGGGGGCAACCTAGCTTCCCTAACAGATTTTGATATGCTAAGCATCCTTTCAGTCCATTAGCAATACCAATAGCACTTATATTATATACCGCTTCACAGTGCTTTGCAGCCCTATCTTACACAGTTTACAGAGTCAGCATAATTGCCCCAACAATCTGGGTCCTCATTTTACCCACCTCGGAAGGATGGAAGGCTGAGTCAACCTTGAGTTGGTCAGAATCAAACTGCTGGTAATTTGAAGAATCAGCAACCTCCGTGCCACCATGGCTCCATTAAAAAGGATATTGTGTTGTGTATAATACAATACACTCGGTTAAACTAATTACTAAAATCACCTTCAATGATGAATATTTTTTTTCTTTTGAATGAGAATATGATGTGTATTTAAGCTGTTGTTGTTGTTGTTGTTTTCAACCCTTTAGTTATGCCTGACTGTTGGCGACTTCATAGGCAGGCGCTCTCTATGTTACCCTATAAAACACAGCTTCTTTCAGTTGTTGGATGTTCAACTTTACATTGGATTTGTTGTTATGAAGCCAGCGTGTTCTTTGCTCGGCCCTTCTTCTTGTTCCACGAACCATTCCTAGCATCATAGACTTCTCCAATGAATTAGCACCCATGACATGGCCAAAGTAACTTAGACGTAGTCTTATGATTTCGACTTCTAGTCGTGTGTCTGATTTTATATGATTTAACCCCTCTCTGTTAGTTACTTTGACTGAATAATAATATATGCCCGTTGTATATAATGATAATGAGTTAACACCATGATGTTGTGTAGCAAATATTTGGTGTTGACTGTTGTGGGTATATATTTTAAACATGGAATGCCTACCTGGTGCAAAATGGAAATGTGGTTGTAAAAAGGTTTGATTTCTAGTTAAAATTATAAATGATGTTTTCCCCCAGTTGTGTGAAAGTCCATAGTGGATATAGCAATAATTATTAATTTCTGTCTGACTTTCTCTTCAATCTGCATATCATAGTCCAAGATATATCAAGTTCAGGGTTTGCCTTTTCATGCTGTAGATGTAAATACAGAATAACAAAGCTGGAAGGGACCTTTGGAGGCCTTCTAGTCTAACCCTCTGCTCAAGTAGTAGGCACTATTCCATTCTGAACAAATGTCTGTCCAGTCTCTTCTTAAAAACCTCCAGTGATGGAGCACCTACAACTTCTGGAGATAAGCTGTCCCACTGATTAATTGTTCTCCTTAATTTTATGTTGGATCTCTCTTTGATAAGCTTCCATCCATGACCCCTTGTCTTGCCCTCAAGTGCTGGGAGAGGTATTTACAAAAAAAAAAAAAAAACATTTGTAGCAAAAAGCACACTAAACTTCTGTTCCATCCACCGACCGCTTTCTACACAGTCTTCTTCCCAGTCCCGGTCTGAGGAAGGCAAGGGAAATTCCTTCAGAATAATTGCAAAAGTCTGCATTGTGAAATTGATTAAAGGCTACGGGGTGAATCTAAATGGATTTGGGAAACCAACAAAAGCTAGCCATGGGGTTTACAAGCCAAAGGGTGCTTCTAAGTTTGTTTATCACTCTGCTAAATAACTAATTCCCTCAACACTGTCCAACTATTTACAAAGTCTGCACTACTATTACTATGAATCTTCTCATCACTCCTTATCACCCATCCCCTCCCACTTGTTGTAGGACTGTAACTTGGTCGCTTGTTTCCTTATGATTTTTATTGGCTGTTTCCTAGTGCAGGTATGATTTGATTGCTTATTGTACCCTATGACTTATTATTAAGTGTTGTACCTCATGATTCTTGACGTATGCATCTTTTCTTTTTATGTACACTGAGAGCATTTGCATCAAGACAAATTCCTTGTGTGTCCAATCACACTTGGCCAATAAAGAATTATATTCTATTCTAAACTCAGTTCTAAAAGAATCACAACTATCAGTTGAGTGGGCCCGTTTAAAAGTCTTGCACAAAACCTGAGCGCATGTTAACAGTGGCTACACCTTCTGGACTTGCCTCCTGTTAAAACTAGTCCCTGCCCACCCCACTCCTCTATTTCAGCAATTGGTTATGGATCAAAAATGAAGCCGAGGCATCTCTCAATCATGTTCTTTAATTCAATTAAAACAGTGGGGATGATTGCCACTCCAGCCTGTTAGACAGGCAAATAAGAACTAGCAATGAAGGACTATGGAAGCTGCTGGGATAATTTCCAGTCACCATCAGGAGCAACTCAGCAAGTCATATGAACGGACACAAGGAGCAGCTTATGCATTGTTGCAGTCTTGAATCAATTGCATGATGCAAGATGGGTTCCTATTATTATTGTTGTTGTTGTTAGGTTCAATGCTACAGCTATTGTCTGGGTTTGTGGTAAACACTGGATATGAAATGATAATTTCTTGGCTTCCATTGGAACTGAATATTGGATCTAGATTGTCAAGCACTGGGAACCAGGATCCAAGATAGAATTCAAAAGCACTGCAAATTTATTCCACACAACCTTTACATAATCAATCAATCAATCAGAATAGAGCTGGAGTGAACCTTGGAGGTCTTAGGGACAAGTGGTGTCCAATCTCTTCTTAAAGTCAAGAATCTGATCTACTAACAATCAGTGTGAATGAGTGCCAGATAAGAGACTTCAAGGGGGAGCTGGACTTTGGTCTCTGTCAGGCGTGTAAAGACTCCAGACTGATGATGCATTTGACCCTACCCTCAGTCTCAGCCTCGTCGTCTCCTACGTAAACTGAGACATAGCTGCAGTGCATCCAACTGAACTTAAGTTAGTGATTGAGATCTAGTCTATCCCCTCTGCATACATCTGGATCTAATCTTTACATACTACTAGATCAGTTTGATTAACTTTTGGGGATCTTTTCTGAGTCTTTTCAATATCCTGGCAAGGTAATCGTTCATCCAACCCTAGACATTTCCAAATATAAGATGTAGTCTCTTCGTTTCACCTGAGACAAATAAGATTTATTGGTGTGTTTTGGATTCACTTTGCTAGCTGTCCCGCCATCCACAGGCTCTATGATCAGATGGTGTGTGTGTGTGTATGTGTATTTATTTATATTTATTTATTTATTTTTACTATATAAAGAAAGAGCAACAATTTCAATGTCTATATAAACAGTGTGCTGTCTGTTTACAGTTAATTTGAATAGTAATAATAATAATAATAATTATTATTATTATTATAATCATAATAATCATTATAATCATAATCATAATCATAATGTTCATTAATAGTGATATATAATAACAGCATTTTTTCAACATATTATTAAAACTTAATTGTTAATACTAAATCATTTTGATAATAAACATGTCCTAATAAACCCTCATGGTAAAAAATAACCCATTGCTTATAATTTTATGTGTTTTAACTTCTGTTTCTATTATTTAACCATAGATAAAATAAATCCCATGTTTCAAAATATTCCATATCTTCCTTCTCTTTAATTTCAAATGTTAATCTATCCATTTCTATACATTCTACTATTTTTTTTTTTAACTATCTTCTCATCTGTCGGGATCTCCACACCTTTCCAATGTTTTGCAAATAGAATTCTGGCTGCTGTTAACACATGAAATATTAAATGCATAGTCCCTTTATTATATTTTTTTCTGGTATAATACCCAGCAGAAATATTTCTGGTTTTAAATCTACATATTCCTTTATCAGGTGTTGTTGTTTTTTTTGGTAATTTATTTATTTATTTTTGATGTGGCCCTAAATTAGCTATATACTGAGGACTCACAGGGCAATCTCATTATAAATCAAAACACTCACAACAGAACAATTTGTTTCAAGACAGCTTATTATTATTAGAACAAGATAAAATCAACATCAAGCAATCTTAAAAAGGTCACTGTGGTTAAGTTGCAGTAGAAATGTGAGATTAAAATAAGAACAGAGAGACCGGGTTATCCAGAGGTTGTCTTCCAAGTAACTATCAGCTCAGCATGTGTGAGCATTTTAAACAAGTGTTTGGAGAATATCAGATACCAGGTAATAATATAAGGAAAGAAGCTGGGATTTAAAGGGTTCAACGGGAACATTCTTTTTATACACAGGTCCCTCTTCTCAAATTAGTTTATCTTCCATGGAGCATCTGCTTTTCAGTTGAGTGTATTCACAAATTCAACATTAAGTACCGATTGATTCAAAGAAGTGCCATATTTAAAATTGTTTAATGGAAGGTGTAAAATTAAAGAGTCTTTTGAATCAAGCTTGACTCCCAAGGAGACACACGTTCTTTGTCAGCAGTACTGAAGTGGGATTGCTGTAGTTGCTTCTGATTATTATTCCTCCGAAACTATTATTCAGTTTCTTAGTGTTGGAAGAAAATATCCTTCTGTGTTCAGTTCCAAGTGGGCAAGAAAGACACTGGAAACATGGTGACTGCTTGGAAAGATGGTTTCATGGTGGATAGGATCACATGCAGAGGTGGCATTCAGCAGGTTCTG